CATCCTGCTAAATACATCCCTTACATATATAAATGCTGTCTATTTAGATTGCAGAAAACTTGCCTGTGATTATCAGTACGATTTTTTTAAGGACCTTGTCCTACAAAAGAGATTCTAGCTGCAATTTATTTGTACTAGCAGTCTGAATATCCATAACACTGCCAGTAAAACTGGCTCCAAAATTTCTAGAGATATTTAATATTAAGATTTATATATAAATCTGTTTCCATTCATCATGAGGCTGTTAAAGTCTATGCTGTATAACTCACTGAAAGAAAAAACAATATATGGTTTATTATTCAGACCATCATGTGCATCTTGGTTGTTATATTCACAATGTTTTGGCTGCTATATTCTTCTTTAGGTGTCTGCCATCATACTTGTTAACCTTTTTCAGAATTCTAACCAAACTCCTTTTTCCAACCCAAGAAGGTAGTTGTCATTCCACTTTTCATGTTGAGGGAATATACTCACCAGTCTTATATTATTCATTTAGTCCCATACTTTGGTTTAGTGGAAGAAATTGACAAGCAACACAAAGTTAAATAAAACTGGTGAGTATTAACTGATGTAAAATATACCCTAAGCATAGAAAGTGGAATTAAAATAATATATATCCATAGAGTGAATAAAGTGTTCAATTTGAAATTCTAAGAAGGTTACTAAGTACAAAGATAAAGGATAGAAGGAAGCTAGAGTGCATAATGACCAAAATATTGTTAGTATAACAACCAAGAAGAGCATGTTGGTTCAAATAATAAAGCAGATAATGAATTTCTTAAGTCAACTGTGGCAACAAACTTTACATTTTTTTTTTATGAATCCAACAAAAATGATTTGCATAAGAAATCATAAGGAAAACTGAATGATATTTTAACAAGAGTCATATCCATCTAAAATGAATAAAAGCAGTAACCACCTTCAATGAAATTGTTCGATAAAAAGGAAATTTTAACAACTTCAGGTGTTCATAAACTGGAAATAACGATGACAGTCAATATTGCTTCAACTTGCATGTAATGATTCCTCACTCCAACGCTATTGAGGAAAACTGATTAAATTCAGAGGTAAGTATTTTGGTGTATGTATTAAATAAATGAAATATAAAACCTTAAAGGCTTAAGAAGTGTAAGTATTCAGACATTCAAAGAAAGTATCTAAGGTTTATTTGGCTTTCAGTACAGATATTTGTGGAATTTCAAATTTGCAAACGCTATTGACATAACCTTCACAATATAGAAATCTGGCTGTATTCTTGCATGGAAAAATAAAATTCAGCTTTAAATTATTTGAGAAAATCAGGAAAACCTTTCATAAATTAAATGTCACCATTGTATTAATAATCTTCAATATATCTGATTATTTCTCATTCAATTAAAAAACTTAAATGGAATTCACAATATACATCAATAACAACTACAATTTAATTTTTTTACTTCTCATAAAAATTATTCCATTTCCATAGTGATTAATACAGAAATAAATAGCGATAAGAGTCATCTAATGTTAATAAGAAAAAAAGGTTTTATATATATATATATATATATATATATAGTGGACATAGAAATCAACAGTGCATGGTGACTGTCAGTTTCATGCCTTATATCAAACTAAAAACTATCCCGATATTGAGAACTCTTCCCCTATAAATATATCAATTTTTAAATAACACACAGAAATTATCAATCAGTAAAAAAAGGCATGTTTCAATGATTACATTTTAGTGAAAGACACTCGGGTTAATGGTTGATAATAAATATTAAGATTTAGAAAAAGATAAAATTTTCAATTGAAAAAGAAAAAATGTTAATCTTCCCTGATAAATGCTCGTTTTTTATTGTGCTTATTCTAAAATTAAATTCTCATTTTGTTACTTGCTTAAATTATCTACATCAAGAAATACACACATATATAAATCTTGAGGCTGGTTTACTTTTGTATTCTGATGGTCAAATTTATAATCTTATAGTAGAACTTGAATAGAAGAGTTTGTAGCAAAGAAAAGAAAAAATGGCTGGCTACTCTAGAAATGACATTTAAATTCAAATTTAGCATGGCAAAAATATTATCTAAAAAAACAAAAATTTAATCATTAGCTAAATCTATAGGAGTGTCTATATAAAAAAAATGAAGTTTAGTTGTAACATTTTAGCTGCTTGGCTTCCTGTCACAATTGTGGATAACCAGCAAATTTCTCTCACTAGATTCAAAAAGTTGTTTTATACAAGTCAAGAATTTTGAAATCACTTATAGTAGAGAAATGAGGTGTAATACCTGTAATGATATGCACAACAAAATAAAAAAAAGTAAAATGATAACAAAAATAGCTTCAGGTTGGATTTAATTTTGATTATTCTTAAAAAAAAAAAAAGAAAAAAAAAAGAAAAGAAATAAAGAGCCCTTGGTGTAAACAAAATGGAAGATGGTATATGGGGGAAAAATATTAAAATAAAAAATGATGTAAAATCTTCCTGTACATTAAAAAAATATTAGTGTACAACCTTTTAAGTTGCAACAGTAAAAATTCATTAAAAAAAAATAATGCTGAATAGCAAGGAGTCCAGTGCTGTCACTGTAAAGGCAAGCAATATTGGGACTGAAACATTAATAGACGGCCCTGTTTATAATTAAGGGGAATATATGGCTCTTAAAAACATTTGCTGAAATAATGTAATTAGTCAAAAATAAAATGCAGACTGATATTTTAACTTTGAATTATTAGGTTGAGTCATAAATAATTTTGTTTTTGTTTATCTATTTTATCCATCAAAATATTACAGTTGGTTCACAAAAATGGAAATTACTTATGACTCAACCTAATAAAATATTTATTATTTTTTTTAATCAAGAAAATTATCCCATTAACTTCATATGGTTAAAATTAATAAATATTTATTCTACAAAATATAAGATAAACTAAATTCAAAAGATAATCTGAACAGTACTGTGCTACATTTGGAAACTTTACAAAAATCTGAACATATATTTTTTATTCATAAATATTTATAACATTAATGGCATCAGCATTTTAAGCAAATTTGCCAAGAATAATAACATGTAGACAATTCAGTCATATTTGGTCCCAATATTGTTTTTCAATGACAAGACTAGTAAAGATGTGATAAATTAGAAATAAACTGTAGTATTTCACATCTCAGTGGGAAAAGTACAAGAGGATGACATGGAAAAAAAAAAACAACAATAAACAATCACATGGGAAAAACATCTGTTGAATAAATAATGCAGATCACATTTTTATGCTACTGCATCTGATGAAATTGTAACAAACATTTGAAATTTTTATCACATTTAAATTTGCATCTGAAGTACACAAATGTGTTTATGCAAACATGTAAATTAGTGTATAAGGTTTTTTTGAAATTATTGTTCGTAATTATTTGAATATATCAAAGTGTAATATTTTATGTATTAAAATTATGTATATTTATTACAAAAGTTAAAATTGTTTAAATACAATTTAGCAATCTTGAATTTTTATACTTGATTTAATAAAAACAATTTTAAAAACTTGAAATATGAGATTTAAATTAATTTTTCATAAAGAAAAAACAGAAAAATCACTTGTAAGAATACCAGAATGAAAGCTTTGTTCCTTTCTCAATAAAGATGATTAATAGATGAACATCATCAATTCATAGCATTTGCTAGAAAGAGTTTTTGTAGTTGCAATATAAACTCCAAGTTTATGCAAAAGTGTCATGAAAATCAATTAAATTTCAAATAACAGCTATAATAATAATAAGCCAGATAATTCAGCTGAAACCCTGGAAATTTTCATTTGATATATCAAGCATGACCAGCCAACATTGAGATACTAAAACTACAGCCACAACAACAGTGTATGGCAGTAAGATGGACAAAATGGTGTAGAGAAAGAGAAAGAAAAAAAAAAAAAAAGAAATCCAATTTATACACCAAAGACAAATGTGCAGCTAGCTGAGCTGGACTGGGTGGTGGGGGAGAGTGACAAGTGGTACAGGAGGTCAGATGGAGCTGTGTTACCTGTAGTTGGGCCCTCTTGCTGGTTGAACCCCCATCAAATGAGGGTTCTCTTGGTAATAACCAAAAACTCTAAAAAGCAAAGCAATAAAGCTCAATGACAGTTTCAGCACTTATGCCTTTTCACACACAACCACCTCCAACAACACACTTTGGAATGTGGACATTAATTTCTCCACAATCTTAAAAAATTGCACACTTATTTCTCTTGAAAATCTGATAGTATCATGGTGGATTTCAATCTTTTAAACTTAAACTTACACATGAAAAAAAAATCATCAACAAAACAGCATGATATAAAAATGATAGAACAGGTATAGCCTAAGAACATAAAATATGAACTACAAATGATTTAATATCACTTTAAAAGTTTTAGCTCTTATAAATAAATTCTTAGAACTTAAATGTTTAATCCTTCATATTAGATAATAAGCAAAAACATAAGAGTTGATGCTTAGGAGGTAGAAATTAATTTTAAAGCTTTAAAAAATCTATTATAAAAGACAAGAATAACCATTAAATAATGAAAATCATATAACAATATTTGAATTTAATTTATATAGTTTTAACAGGTCATTTAGAAAGTGTTGTATAAACATGAATACTGAAAATGCTTATTTTTGGTGCACATGGAAAGATCTACACCTAAAGTGAATGGAGAGCAATAAATGGTAAAGAAAAAAATATAAGTAGTCAGAGGCCCAGCAATGTTTTTGTGCATAAATATCAAATATATTAGAAAAGAACAAGAGCATTTCAGTTTTTCTTTTCTGACACACAAACTTTGCATTTAAAGCACTAATATACTGAAGAAAAAAATCAAAACAAGTCCTTTAAAATTGTGAAATAAAAAAAACATTTATTTTAACGGTAGAACTTATGTTTAGCAATGCAATTGTAAACAACTAAATCCAAAAGTACAAATAACAAATCTTTGAGAGATGTCAATAAAAAAAAAAGTTAATATTATAAATACTAACCTGATTTTGCATTAAATGAGTATTGTTTCTGGCAACAGAGATGGCACTTTTGTCCAAGATGTCACAACTCTTCTGTCGGCGAGTAACAGGTGTCATGGAGGCAGTAGCATTGGATGGAGTCTGGATGGGTGTTGTTGACATGGAGTGAGCTGAAGCACTGGTGCCAATGGTAATGCCTGGGGTGTTCAACTCTGCACTGATGCTGTCTGAAGATGGTGAGTCTGTCATCACATATTGGCTAACCCTGTGCTTCAAATGGCACCGACTGCGCACCTCTTCAGAAACAGAAACTAATGCTGCAAAGCAAGCAAAATTTCATTTAAATATCACAACTTTATAACTTGAAATTAATTTGTTTTTAGATAACCTTGTTGGGAGAAATGAAAACATTTTTGTCTAACTAATGCTTAAAAAATGTCCAAAATAAATACCATGAAATATTTTAGTTATTGTTTGTATGCAATGATTCCTTTAAATATCAGAAGTGTATTCATGAAAAATCACAATATTTGCAGTTTGTATAATATCAGAACATTAATTTGAAGCAGTATTACATTATTCAACCATCTTTTCAAAAGTTGGATTACTACTGAAAGAAAATACAACCAAGAACAGCAGATAAAATATCCCATGCAATTACAATAAAGAATACAAATATAAAACTTGCTCACTTCTAAAAATGAAGGCTTTAAAACTGCAACCTACGGATAGATTATGAAATCAAAGATAGCAAATTACATTTGAAAAGAAAAAGCATATCAACCCCTATAGAACATAATTAAATATATAAGATTGGAAATTGAAGGTAATGGCCTATATGATCTTCTTAGCCAAACATAAAAACATGGAACCTCCACTTACAGAAGTGACATACAAGACTTAAATTTCCTAAAATTCCACTGTTAGAGCATTCTTCAGATACTTTGTAGATACAGATGCTGATAAGTTTATGTTGTTCCTGGACAAGAGTGCACTAGTTTGGTGGGAAAGTAGAATGATGTCTTAAAGAAAAATTGCTAATGTGTTCAGTCAAAAAGATTTACTTCAAAATACCCTGAAGATTAGCATATTGCAATATTTATTTACTTATTGTTAAAAAAAGAAAAACCTCAATTGCAAGAGAGATTATTGAGCCAATTGTAAAAGAAATAACAGAAACTGTTTTGAAAAAGAATGAAGCTCTTACATTAAAATCTATTTCATTATATAAAAGCACTATGCAGTATCATATTGAAGAAATGGCAGTAAATGTTGAACAAATATTGATTGCCAGAAAAAAAAGATTCGCTATTCAACTCTACAGATTTAAATAAAGAAAACTATTTTCAATGATTTCCTTCCTACCGAGGTCAGGTGGTTATAGAAAGGAAGTTGCTTACAAATGCTTATAGAGAAGTTTAATTCAAGAGTGGGGTTTTTAAGGAATATGAATTAAAATGAATTGCAAATGAATTAAAATTTAAGTAAAAATCACTTTTATTTGGCAAATTTATAAAAGGTAAATTTAATGAATTACAGAGATTACAATCAAAAGACACTCCAATTACTAAGTCTTGAACTACCATTTTAGGATTCCAATTTTATACAAGTCTACTTTGGGCCAGGTCAACATTCAGCATTTTGCAAATTTGTCCTCTATAGAGTAATCAGAAGTATTTTGGATAATGACTTGTTTATCAACATAAACCACATTAAGAATTTGTAAGAAGACTAAAGCTTGATTCAGGGATCTTCTAAACATAGCAATTCCTAAATGGATTATTTCTCCATCTGATGTTGAAGCAGAAAGTGCAGATTCAGACATATTTCTTAAAGAAGAATTTATTGAAATGATTTTCAATCTTGAAGCTATGTATATTCACATTTAAAGGATGGATGGATGTTGGATTTAACGGCATGTCAACACCTATTTGGGTCAATTTATGCCGAAGCCTTATTAATTTATGAATTTAAGTTGGTTATTTTGTATAAAAAGATGAAAGGTTGTTGGGTTTCATAATTTACATTTAAAGGAATTAGGTCTTATTGGATGAGCGAAAAAAATGTAGCAAAATGTCCCAAGCTTTGAGCAACTGTTGAACCCAATTTTAATAGCTTTTTCTGGTGGAATCTGGGTGTAGCCATGTGTCTTATTTATTAAGCAAACACAGCACTTTGAACAAATAATGTGGTGATTTGTGATTCCAGCTCATAACTCTGCAACCTAATATTCACTATCTTTTCTATGTCCACCAAACCCATCCTACCCATAAAAAAAAAGTAATACAAGCATTAAAAAGTGTATCTACTTTTCTAGTTTACTGATGCTTTTCCCAATACTGGTAAATATTTTGTAATTTTATATATTTTATTAATTTGTTTGAGGTGAATAGAAATTAAATTGTTACAAGGAAACTATTAAGCAAAAGGTTTGAGAACTCTTGCTGTAAATAATTTCCATCAAAAACTAATACAGGGAATTCCTTAGTAAGGAAAGCATAACTATCAAATACAAAAAAATTTGAAAGTCTTACCTGCCAAATATGGAACTGTTTGAGGTGTTACTTCAAATTTATCTCTGCAAATCAAAAGGATTGAGATTATTTTTTTTAAATAAACACATTTAATGACAACTTCTAAAGACATTTCTTATCACTGAAAAAAAGAGCATTTTCTTAAAATTGCTTATAGGCCACTACTGAGTTGTACTATTCAATAGCTTCTTACATTCAGCATGATTTATCAGTTGATAACAGAATGTTATTACCTATTCTATCATTATCCTTTTCTTAGGAGGCATAAGAAAGCACAAAAAAGAATATGAAAAAAATTTTGAAAAGTCATCCGTTTATTTTATTCCTTAGATGCTGGAATCAATAAAACTATTTTTTTTTTTTACCTAGATAGCAACATTAGTGAATATACTTCACTCATATATCAAATATTTTCTAAAGTTTCACTGGAAAAATCAAGAGTACTATCTTCAACATTAAAATGAAATATGCACATTTTGAATAATAAATTCAATTATTGTTGTTGTTGTTTTATGCTGTACTGATGTCCTCATCTTGGTTGTTATGGTCACAAAAACAAAAAGCAGTTCAATCCTTCACATACATTACCAATGCCAAGCTTCAATCAGAAGAGAACATAACTATGTATAGCATTCCATACAATTGTAGTAAAAACAAAAGTGAGATCAACTACACTGAAAGTGAAACTTAAAGAACATTGTAAATCTGTAATATATGAAAAGAATACAAAATCAAGTATGGCTGAAACCTTTGATGAGATAAAAGACATTGGGTATAAGATTCTAAAATTATTCTATTTGTTCTATGAGACAATAGTTTAGTATATAAAAGCTATTTTGCAAATCCAATGGAAAAATAAGAACTAATATCACAAGAATGAGTTATGATTTAACTGCTCTAACATAAGCAGCAGAATAAAAACCATCTATTCTAGTGGATTGGATAAAATGTTACCAAATATGGCAAACACCTGAAGGCAGCTGAAAGGTATAACAGCTAAAAAACAACAAAGATGAGAACATTAGTATAAATAGATCAGTGTACAATAATAAATCTTCATCTCAGAAATTCATACAGAATTATTATCTTGTAAAAGGAAAAGATTTAGACATATGTTAAATATATTTTCTTTAAAATCTATATAATAAATGTGAATGTCAGTGTGTCACTGTGTCACACTTTTTCAACTTTACTCCTAGAGGCTGTAGCCCAACATGTCATACCATTTTAGAATCAGGCCAGCTCCGTGAGCAAATTAAAACTATTCTGGGCCAGATCTGGACCAGCATTCCTGAAATTTTTTATTCCCAAGTTTTCATTACTGCGAATGTTTTCAGCAATTTTCTTTTTTTACATGATTTTTTTGTGACAAATTCTTTTGTATGATAACAATTTTTATAACTTGGAAATAATCAAAATTAAATGCAAAATCCAGTGAAAGTCACCTATAAAATAAAAATAATTGTTTGTACAAAATGTAAGGACCTATGTACATCAAACTGTCTTTAAATTAAGTGGTGGCAGAAGAATTATTGTTGAACTTTTTAAAGATAAGCTTAAATATTAATGCAATACTTAAATGCAGCGATCAATTTTGAGTTCTTCAGCAGTTTATTGCTGCCTATCACATCACTCCTACCTACCTATTGTGATGAAGGCCCAATCAAGAGCCCTCTGATGGGCCAGCTTTTAAGCTAGTTAATAATAAAGATTGGCAAATCTGAATTACTGACATTCAATATATACACTAAAAGTAATTAAAAATTGAATAATATCAAATTTGCTTTTAAAGTAGGAAAATTATCTTGTATTTCTCTTCATAAATATTTATATATTATTTCCTTGTCCTTACAGATTTACGTACATATGGTGTGTATATTGCTTCTATCACTAAACACACTGATTCTATTCTTACAAGTTAGCTAACAATCTCTAACTTAATGATTCAATTCAAATAGAAAAAGTATGCTCTGCTAGGACAAAATTAAGAACCAATGCAATATTTTTGAAAAGGATGGAATATACTTCCCAAACTCCCAAGTAATTTTATGTGACTTTTTCTACAGTCAATGTATTTCATAATGATAAACATATTCTACAATGAATAAATCCTTAAAGTTTAAATGTTTCTGCACATAGATATATCACTATTTAAAAGTGTTAATATTTGATTTTATATTATTAGAATACAAAAATTACTTTGTTATATTAACAAAAGATGCACCCTAGAACATTCAAGAATTCAATTTTTAGAATTTGCTTATAGAATATATGCTAGACCCTCCTGTCGTTTTTGACGTATGAGAGTCAAGCAGCTCAGTTCTTAGAACCAACAGCTAGACTACCCACACATCATTTAATTATAATGGTGAAGTCTTGTGCAGAACTAACCACACTTTTTGGAAGAGCTGAATATAAAGAACTGGTGCACAGTAAGCCACAAGGTCCCCAAATGACCCTCCGCAGGTTTTGAATTCAGAGTTGTCCTTCTCCTAAACCATTCACCACCCAAAGTTACAAGACCCAGTGTGTCCTGCTATTTACCCATAGTTGAGAGAGAAGAGATGGATTCATACCTTTCCCATCGGTATTAGCACATAAGTGAATGTAATGAACTTAACTGGAATTTGAATTTGGCTCTCCGATTCCTCAATTCATTATTTCTCTCTCTCTCTCTATATATATATATATATATATATATATATATATATATATATATGCCAAGGACTGCCTATTTAATTTAACTTTTCCAATTTTTGATGCTGAATAGTATGGTCTGAAGTTAATATTTTGTCATTTTTGTTCAATTACTTTTGACTTTCTTGTCATTATCAAGAATGGAGGTGGTGTTAATGTGATAGTTTTAACTCCTTTGTCTGCATCTTGGTATTCATTAGGATGTTGGATGTTTGAAATGGTCTAACGTGACGTCAAGTGTAATTGCTATTGGGAATGAGGCAGTACAAAAATAATGTGATTTATTTTAACAATTTATTTGCTAATTTTTAATACTAATATAATATGTGCACACATCAATTATATCATATGAACTTCAAAGTACTATCACCAGTGGTGAATGATATTTAATGTGGGCTGTTTATTTTGTATAATAACAGCTTCTAGAGTTTTCAGTTTTTCCATGAAACTGGTGCTATTGAGTATTTTGGTGTTAACTAATATTTGTCTTATGATAATTGTTATATTTTGGTTGTTCATGATGTGTTGGTCAATGTGTGCACAGATTGCAATAAGTTTCAACAAGTGACAGGTTAATCTGCACGAGAGTGTGGTGCATGTATGCCCAATGTAAATATTTAATGTGTTTTTGATTATTAGTGTTGGTGATGCAATCTCCCAAAAGCATGAAAATTCATAGACAACATTATTTTTACACAGTAGGGGATTTATGAGGCCCGGTGATAATTAAGTTAGATGTTGTAAACTTTTTATAATAATAGATAATAAATCAAAGGTGTTAGGACCATTGAGTGATATGTATCCATGAATTGTTTTTAGTTGCTTTTTAGTCCTGTTTATAATTAGGGTGCATTTGGTTATGATAGAATAAGTTAATGGTGTATTTATTCTTGCTTGTGTCAGAGAGGGCTTCATTCTTTGTAAATTTCTTTAAGGCTAATTTCATTTGTTTATCAACAACATTGTGAGGGAAATTATTGTTGATTAGGATTTGTTTAATGTTACTGAGTTTCTTACAGAATAAAAGGTCCGAAGAAGAGATTACTTTCCCCACGGTAAATCATGTTTTTGATAACAGCTATTTTGTATTTGTGAGGACATTCACTTTTGTAGTTAAGTAAGCACTAGATTTTGCTAGTGGGATTTTGTAAAGTGGGGGTGGTAAAATTATGGCTACAGGCATTGACTAATATGTCAAGGAAAGGAATTGTTAATATTGAGTTCATAAGTAAAGTGTAGAACAGTTATTCTCAAAGGTTACTTTCAGGTTTTGTATTTCTTCCAAGCTGTTTGTCAATATGAATGTCATCAATATAGTATGCGTATATGGGGATCTTGCGGAATTATTGACGACTTTGTTTACCACTTGACACATGTACAAATTAGACAGACCAAGGGCTGAATCCTTCACTACACTGTCAGTTTGTGTGTAAATGTTGCTATAGTGGTTGTAAAATGGTTGTGACAAAAAGAATAACAGAAGTTCCCACAGAATAGCTGGTTTGATTTTAGGAGGTAGGAATGAGGAGTGATTGTATACATTTTGTAGGACAATGTCTATAGTTTCTTAGACTGGGATATTAGTAAATAAGTTTTCTACACATCTAGGAAGGCTAGATGCTGTTATTTGGTTACTTATTAGACCAAAGGAATGTCAAAGAATTTATATTTTAAAAATTAATTTACTAACCTGTTTAATGGTTTGACTGTGATGACTAACAATTGGTTAAGCACTCGAATTGTACGGGAGACTGTTGTAGGGGAAGGATGCCGAAAGCCTGAAAAAAAGAAAAGGAAGAGAGAGATAAAATTCATTATCATGTAGAAAGCAAAAAAAAAATTTTAAAAAAATGAAAAGTCAAATATCTAGAGAAAACAATTTTAGCTATTTACCTTTGAGCAAATGACCAACTAATGCAAAGTTGAAATTGTTTTTAAAGCTGAGTCCCATTGAATGGTCAAGTTGCTTGAAGTGCCATTCTAATGGTTCTCGTGCTTCCATCATGATATCTTCTAAGGACTGAAAGTTTAAACAAATAACATAGGTTTCAATATTCATGTGCTGAAGAATAAATATTCAACAACATATTAATATATATTTTCAGTCAAATTTTAGAAATTATGACTTTTTACAATAGTGAAGACATTTCTTTGTGACATTCAGTCTTTCAAATCAAGTTTACTAAATAAAAAAAATATTTTTTCAGTAGTTACTTTAACATAAATTAAGAGTCAAGTGACTTTAAGTGTACTAGAATAGTATGATATTCAACAACAGGTATACATTCATGATATGTTTAAAAGCTGTTCTGCAAACAATTTTACTTTAAGCATTAAATTTTATTTCTGTACATTTATAAAGCACTTTGTTACATAATTAATATTTCATGAAATTAGGAATTTAGCATAGATCCCCAAAATTCTCTTTTAAATAAAAAATTTCTGTTATTATTTAATAGTAGAGCTTGCATTATTTTAAGTATATTCATCACACTAAGAATTTAAATAAAATAGATGTAATAGCTGGAAAAAACAAAAACTTACTGTACTGTCAAGTAAGCCAAGGTTATCTAGTGTATGGAGATTCTGCTCAAGAAGAGCTAGTCCAGTAGCATATAAAGACTTTACATCCAGCTGCAGAACAGAGATGGCCACCCAAAACAGAAACTTGTGAATGGAAGATTCCTAGATAAAAGTGAAAGTTATAAAAATCACAGATGATTATATTTAACTGACACAAAAAGCTCCCATAACCACTTTTTGCACAATGTTATGAAAATCTCAAAACTGTCTTGTACATTATTCACAAGCCTTAGGAAAAAAGTCTAAAGTAAGGTAAATGGGCTCCACAAAAACTGGTAGAAACATTGGTCAACATTTTTTTTTTTTTTTTAACTTTTCTTAACTCATTTTTGGACAAGAAAAGTCACTAGCAATGAAAAAATCTAAAATGAAAAAGTTGTGGCTAAATCTAGAAGTCTTCAACACCAAAACTTAAATTCAGTGTAATGGGATTCAAAGAAAATTCTTTATTATGAATTGCTGGAACCTGAACAAAAGTAATCAAGTAATAATATCATTTTGGGTATGTAGGTTATCTATACTGTTTTAATATTACAATGTGATGCAGCAACTGCAAATTTTTAAGGGATGTTTTACAAGCAACATACTCTTCAGATTTGTCACCTGGCTGTTGCTTGTTCCTCTGAAGATAACACTCCTTGTTCATTAGCACTTCAATAAATTGCTCAAATTCAGTGAATCAAAATTGAAATCTTTTTTTATGATAAAATATGCAAGTAAAGTTGGATAAGAATCCAAGTGAATGAGAAATACATAATTTAAAAAAAATTTACCATGATATATTTTGCCAATGATCCCATGTCATAAAAAAAAAAATTATTTCACAAGAACAAAATCAATAGTAAGGCAAAATGTGACCTATATCAAATGTACAAATTCTTGATTTTTTATTTTAACTAAAAAAGGAGGGAGAAAAAGTTTAAAGTTAAAATTCAATTTCTATAGTGATACAGTTAAAGCAAAAATAAAAAAATTCAGATGCTTACAATGAATTACATTTAATCACACTAATATAGATTTTATGAAATAAAAATTTTTTCTGACGATGCCAGATCAATGACAAAATTATTTCCAAAATTGTCTTCTATATTTCCCATGAGAAAATGCGTAATTTAGCAGAAAAGTGAATTTAGGTCATAAAAAGGCTACAGAAAATATTTTGATAACTGAATAATAATGCCATAAATTTATATTATTAAAATGTAAAAATACAAAATTTGAAATAATAATTTTCAAGAAAAAAAAAAAAAAATTCAATATATAATCTATTGAAATAACTTAATCAGGATAATGTATTGGTTATCTAAAAAGTTCATTCAATTTATTAATAATGAATTAATTTCACTGAACAACATATTTACCATTTTGTTCTACATTCTGTCTTCAGGCAATGTCATAATTTCATCTTATCAAAAACACCCTAGGTGGCTTTTGCTATATTTCAGAATTTTTTTCATAAAGAATTTTGTAAAAACTGGAGTAAGTCTTAATCAAATGCACTATCCAATGAATATAACATAAGTCAAAATTACCCAGCAAGCTTTAACAATTTTTGATATAGTTTAGCATCATCCTAATATAATATTATGCCATTTTTATGAATTTGATGCATCAGCTGTTTTAACTGGAAGTTGAAGTTCAAAACAATCATTTAGTTTTCTGGAAAAAATTAATCGTAAAATACTCCTTTCCAGTCCTATCATATAAGTAAAGTAAGTATCACATTCTTTGGATGAAGACTAGATTTTAGTTTGGTTAATGATGATGCATTTTACTTGTCCCTCAATCTCTTGCATTTTACATTGTAGTAAAGTATCCACTCTTTGTTGCATATTTAAAAAAAACAAAAAAACATTTTCATAATGTTTAAGTAGTTAATCACATGTCTAGTAGGATTTCTAAATTGCATCTTAAAGCAAGTAACATAAACAAGATGGTACTTTATTATTTTTCACACTAGATTTGGATATTTTAAGTATGTAGGTTACCTATCACACCACATAATGTTGATTATGCTTAAAATTTGATTGCTATCAATCCCAACTGATCAACCTAATCAGGGAGTAGCATTTAGTGAGAAATCTCTAACATAAAACTTTTACTCAAAATCACTTTTGACTTGCTTAATCATTCACAGTACAATCTCCATAAATTACATACATCTTGTTTGTTGTTTTTAACTTTCTGAAAATATTGGAAAGCATATGTCAAAAAATGTTGTTACTTCTATTTTCAACAGTATAATATATCAACATAAACACACCAAATTTGATAATTAAAGAAAATCCACAGTTGTCAGAATTACAAATAATATATATTCATATGTATTCAAATGAAATTAATGCTTCTAATGCAATCTAAAAACAAAAATAGAACAAACTTTTTGAGTAACTCAACATTTTACTTTTAAATAATAAAACAATATTTTTCAAAAATTTACTAAGCTATAAGAAATAATCTTCAAAAATATTATATATTACATATAAAATTTGAATCTGTCTACATTTTTGAGATGAGGTATTATGTACACTATTTATACTATTCGGACTATTGTCCTTATCTTTGTCGCCATATTTATTACAACGTTAATTCTTCAATACTCAGTTAAGGCAGTGGAGAACTTGGAGAATGGAATTAACAGGAGATAACTGATAACTGACATCCATTAAACATGGCACGTGGAACTAGACCAATCTACCCCAGTGAGCAAAATAAAGGGTTCAATTCGACATTCCAACCACCTGAAAAAACGTTGTAATAAATATGGCAACAAAGATGAGGACAATAGTCCGAATAATGTAAATAGTATAAAATTTGAAATATACCGCCTGACCATTATCAGCCCAACTACCAGAGTAAATAAGATGTACTATAAAACTAAATGGGAGTGCATTCTGCTGTTATAAACAGTCATTCTTTTAGCTTTACAAAAATACCAAAAATTTTTAATAAAGTTGACCAATAAGAATTAAAGTAAGCCCATATTAAAAATGTTTATTTCAATGTCAGTTATTTTAATATAGCTAATAAACAATTATTAAAATAAAAATGTGAGAAGAGCAAAAATTTACATACTGGTCGAAGGAGAGGCTGCAGTCTAGTCAGGCACATTACGACGGCTTCTATTAATTGAAAATCAGTCTCCCGGTAAGCCTCCAGAGACTAAAACAGAAAATTACAAATTTAACAACACATGAAAAACAATAAATCATAAGTAGCAAAGAACAGTGTCAAATTTTTGTTAAAAAAAACAAAAAAAAACAAAATACACTTTCCACTGATGTAGCTATCTGTAAAAATACAGTAAATGTTCTATATAGAACATAGTATTTTTTTCAAAAGGAAATATTTCTGTAACACTAAATTACACAGTATAGGCTAATAGGGTGTAAGTAAACCATAAAATTGTGAGCCTGATGGTTGATTTGTCCCTCAGCAACAACCCAAATGTAATAGTCCAAGAGATGCTAATAGAACTTTTATACTTTAATATCTTTTGTAGAGAAAGTTTTATAGAACTATGAATATACAATATACATATATATGTAGGTAAAAACCACTAACAGATCCATGGGTAGTAAGGTAGGCTTAATGTGTCTTAAGAGAAAGTATTGCACCCATTGTAAATAGATAAGTACCAACAAGTATAGTATATAAAAATGAATAAGCTTATTATCAAATGCTGTGTTCATAGATATTCAAGTAAATTTATTAGTTTTGATCTTTTCCAATAGATAAACATTTTTAGGTATGGTTAAATACTGAGCCTTTAATTTCTTTTATCTTAAAATTGCCACAGTTCCTTGTATTTATTAAGTATCTTTATTATTTTTATGCTACAAACATTAACTTGAAATATAAACAACTTTACTTCCAGTTTAAAGTTGAAAGTGTCATTTGAAAATAGTTACAATAAAAATATAACTAGTGTGATTCTGTCACTTCTGAAATTGATTTTAAAAACTCATATGAAACTTACAAATTTCTTAAGTAATAACATTTTTCAAATTGTACAAAATAAAAAGAAATTAAAAATAACTTGCATACTTTCATCATTATCCTGAGAAGTTGTTTAATTTCTGAGTCTGATACAGTTTTGCTGATGCAACCAAACACAATAATGGCTCGAGGTTGAAGAGCTGGATTGTACTGGAATGCAAATCTGAAGTAAGAAAAAAGTCAACCTAATATTTTTGTGATCTAACATGTATGAAAACATCTTATATGAGTCAAAAGATTTATCAATATTTAAAATTTTAAGCAATATTACAAAAAAATAATTATTTCTGTTGAAAATGTTTTCTGTTTATAAGAATCATCTTTGATGGAAGAAAATCATATTTATATCATGAATATCAAAAATTTAACTGAATATATTACAATGTTATATTTCAATACTTGTGATCATGATCTTACTGTGATATGGATAGAAAACAACTTTCAAATTTAACTTTAAAACAATAATAGAAATTACAAAAAAAAATTAACTTATAGAAAACTATGAATATATGTACTAGTGTGTTTCCAATTAAGAAAAAAAATCCAATTGACAAACCGTTTTGCCAAATCAGTCCACTGATTAAGCCACTCACAGCTTGGAATATCTTTCATACATGCCTAAAAACAAGATATTAAAAAATAGTGAATTAAAATATTCTTAACAGAGAATGAAAACAGTTTCAAGTTAAAACATTCCAGATAAACAATGAAAGAGAAGTAATCAAGTGCCTTTAGTTTGTTGAAAAACAGAAAAATAATGAACTTGAAAGAAATTGCAAAAATAGAATCATTTATGAGTATAAAAAATATTTATGTGCATAAACCCATGACAAAATTTTCTTTCCTTCAGAAACATGACACTAATCATGAAAATAAAACCACTTTAATTGAAAGAAAATTTAGTTCTGTAAAACATCAGTCTGTTGGTATATTCAAATTATTTTAAATTTTATAAGTTATTTTTAGTACTAAGCATTATTTTAAAGCATTAACAAAGTGGCATTGAACAATGTAAATGAAATAAAATGTCCTCAGTGCAGTTGTCAAACGGGTCATATAATCTTGTAAATCATTGATCATGAATTTAAAATCCTCAATATATTGTCCACAAATCTATCAAATCTGTGACATTATCACCTTGCCATAATAAAAATAATCTTTTTAGGTTTAGATTTATTATTGATTCCAAAGAGGGAGTATTTTATCTTAACACAAAAGTCATCATTACATTGAGAGATAATTATTATGATTTGCTCAACAGTTAAATGTATTTGACATCAACAGAACTTTTGTTCAGGGGTATCAAAATGAAATATTTTCAGCAAATCTGATTTTCTCCCATGGTAACTGATATTATATATTAAATATCAACAATATGTACCTTCATTAAAGATAGGTGTAACAGAATCATTAGAATATTTCAGATTAAAAACAAAGTCACTGAACTTATTCTTTATCAGTTCTCAACTTCAAACGCAGCATATTATGTGTTCAAATGATTGGTGTTTGTAACATTGCTAAATCAAAATGAGCACAATATTATGATGAACATGCAAGAGCAGAAATTCATCAGAAGCATATTTTCTGTTATTTCATAGAAAGCATAATTACTGCCAAAGCAACAATATATTCGATAAATATCAAGGTTTACTTGTCAGCAGTAAAATCATTTCAAAGAGACAATGTTAAAATTGTTGTTTATATGGAAAAAAAATTTTAATAACAAAAAATTTTTTAAATAATAAAAGAATTTCTGCTCCATATCTTGACATTGAAGAGTGAAAATTTTAGTCAGTTGTCAGTATTGTAAACTTCATATTTTTTTTTATCATTAGTTTATTCTTGTTAGATCACATTTTATAATGTTCTGGAATTTTTACAAATGAAAATATATTTTTTTGAGATATTTTACATATTTAATTTTCCTTCCAATGCCAAGAAAAATAACTAGAAAAATAGCACCTGTTACATTAGAAATTTTTTTTATTATAAATTTTGTAAATGAGATGTTTTCTTAGGAAAAAAGTAACCGCAGTACAATGTTTATAAAAAGAGTATGTTAATTTGAGAATAAAACTAAATATTTGTACAGTCAAAAGAATTAATTCTAAAATAAAGCATAATTTATATGAATAAATGAAAACCTTCTCAACACAGAACAATTAAGGTTGTTTTTCTCTCATAATCAGGTGTGCCAATGAAAAAATTAGCACAACCAGATAATGCTTGCTGAAGAGAAGTTTCTAAATAAATAAAAAAACAAAAAAACAAAAAAAATCAGTATAAAACTGAACCAACCTCCATAATTTCTAATAATGCATCTGTGATGGTCTCCAAAGAGTTGAGGGAGAGCTTCTCATGTTCAGGTGGTGATGTTGTGAATGACCGGTCCCCGAGGTGGTAGCTGGTGCGAAAGGCACTCACAGCGGCAGACTTCACCTTGCTAATGCCAAAAAGTTGGTAAAACTTGGGCAACGAAAATTCAGCCAGGCTCAGCTTGAGGATTTTTAAAGTGGCTTCTGCATTCAAAAAATAAAAACAGGGTGTATGAAATTTTTTTTTACAAACTTTGGAGGTTCCTCACACCAAAACAAAGACAAAAGTTCATGTAAACATATGTTCACAAATCCTTCATTTTTGAGTTATTAAATTTAAAGGAAGTTTACAGCAGATGGTACTGTGGTGCCATGTAGACTAGGTTATATTTGTCATTCATGTACATTTGTGCCTAGTCTGTCTTCAATGTTTAAACCCTAACCGAGAAATGTCCCATTTAACAATGGCAGGATATTCATATTGTGAGCAGGCAGATATGATTTTTACATACAACCGCACAAATGGTAATGGACATGAGGCTGCACCAGATTGAATTTCCAGACCAAAGAGTCATCCAACCGTTGCTGCTGTTTGTCGTCGTGTTGCAGTGACAAGATCTGTGGCACCACAAATTATGAATCAAGGAAGACCAAAATCTGCTCGTACACCTGACCACGAAAAATATATTCTACAGACTGTCTGAGAGAATCGAGGTATCAACACATTTCAAGTGGCCCTAGCATGTTGTACATCTCATAGTACTGCATGGAAGGTACTTTAAGAGCAGCTCCTGTATCCATATTCTTTTGCCTTCTAATCACTCACCACCGTAGAACTTTTGCTGATGGTTTATTGCACAAACTGCTGATTCATTGTTTGAATCATCAGTCTTGTTTACAGATGAGGCAACATATTTACACAACCAACAATTGTGGGTGGGTTGGAATCTAAACACCAGCATCAGTTTACAATTAATATTTGGACTGGATTTGTAGGTGACTATCTGGTAGGTCCATATATTCTCCCAGTACATCTTACAGGACTTTATTTCAAACACACTTCCAGACCTGTTAGAGGATGTACCTGTGCTAATACGAAAATATATGTGGTTCATGCATGATTAAACTCCAGCACATTTTAGTCACATTGTTCACCATGCACTTGCTGACATCTATCAAGAAAGATGGATAGGTAGAGGAGGACCAATTCTTTGGCTTGCACGTTCCCCCAATTGGAATTCTTTGAATTTTTATCTGTGGGGCCACCTAAAACAATTGGTTTATGCAGCAGACATTAATAATGCAAAGATGCTTCATCAACATGTCATGGGGCCTGCGAAACCATTTGACATCACGTTGGAGTATTTGAAAAAGTCCACTAGTCAATGATCTCATGGGTGCATGTGTATGTAGAAGCAAGTGGAAGACATTTTGAACATTTGTTATGAGTTGCTGTATTGAAGTACAATGATGGCCTCTTGAACATATGCTTATATAGATATTTTACCCTGTTTTGGTATCAGGAACCTGCCCCCGAGTTTGTAAAATGTTTATATATATATATATATATATATATATATATATATATATGGTAAAACATTCACAAATATCAATGCTACTTCACAGAGGGTGGATAAGAATAGAAAGTCATGATGGTTGATATTTATCATAATAGGAATATATTTATTGCGATAATTATCGCATATGAATGAAAAGAGCAATATTGGATTATATGGATTGAGGGTGATAAAGAATCTAAATGGAAAAAGTATAGATAGATAGAGGAAAGACTTAAGATTTTTTTCAAAAGTTATAATTTAAGCATAGAAGTAATGGCTAATTTGGGGTAAGTAGACTTTCTTGATATTAGCTTGAATCTGGACAATTGCAAATATAAGCCATAAGAAAGAAGAAAAAAAAGGAAGGAAAAAGAAAATAAAAAAAATTCCAGAACAATTTAATGTTCTCTAAATAACAAAAACAGTGAAAAACCTACTACTACTGACAAAAGAAAAAAAATTATATTTAATACTATTTAAATTTTATTCTTTTGCTATACCACAAAACTGAAAATTGAAAGGAACTGTTAAATCAAAGACGGACAAGTAGTCTTACCAGAGAAATGGAGCTGTGGGCAGGTGCACAGTGAATGTATGATGTTGATGACAAGGCCATGTGTTGATGCCCGCAGAGACAGGGGTCCTGTGGATACTAGCAGGGTAACAATATGGAATAGGTATGGAAGATGACTGGTCACTAAAAAGGAAAGATACAGATTGTAATACAATGCTATAAATTCACATCAAAACTTAATAGTTAAGATAGCCAAGATTGAATATCAGAATAAGAATATATGAAGAGGTATAAATAAGTACATACCATCAAGTGAGTTATTGAAAGACAACATGAGAAGGTAGCGAGCAAGGATGGCAATGTCATCCCACATCAAATGCTGTTCTAGAGTATGTGTGGGAGACACGCATGTCTTTTCAATGAGCTGAAAAATATTAGAAACTTTCATAAGCATTTTCATTCTAAAAATAAGGAAATAAAAATGAAGAATATTTTTGAGTCAAAATATCATGAAAAATTTCCTTCAGCTAAATACTGAACAGAAAAAACTTATAAACAACTAACCATGGTTTCTGTTTGAAATTCTGTGATGAAGAGTTACTATTTACATTATTTACACTTGGACTATTGTCCTTATCTTTGTTGTTATTATCACAATGTTTCAGGTGTTGTGCTCTCCAGCCTTCATAATGTGTTTGTTGATCCAAGTAACCTTCAGGGAAATTTTGAAGTAAATACTTTATTTAATCTATTGAAATAGATTCTTCTTATTCTGCTGACCAAGTCTAGGAACATCTTGTATAATTCTTATTTAGTATTACTCTGTTTTTATATTTCACCGTATTTCTACTGAGTCTAAATCTGCATTACCTGTCCCAGAGATTGAACTCACAATTACTATGTCACCAAAATCAGTGGTGAGTCCTCATACCTGACAAACAATACAACAGTATATTAGGCATAATTTGTTTTTTGCTTACATCTCCTGTGCCTTCACACTTTTCATTATCTATAAGCTATCAAAATAGCATAAGAACAAAGTTTCTACCCTCCAACATCAAGGCTGACTTGACAGTGTCACAGTTATATTTGGGAGAATGCCACTAGTGTTAAATTAGCTGTCACAGTTTTTATTACTTGGGGAAAAAAAAGGAAATATTGAATTTCAAAGAAATCCACAATCATCTAGATTTTTAGATACTAAGGCAAAAGGAAAGTGTAGGAAAAAAAGCTTTAAATTTTTTTTTCTTCCTTTGCAAACAATGTGTTCAAATAATTGATATGGTAGCCCAATTCCACAATGAAATAAACAAATCACAAGTCCAGACTTGAATATCCAGGGGCAGAAAGAAACATCAAAGTCATAAATCCCAATACACACAAATGGTCAGAAAGTCAACACAAGGCAACAGATGAGGTAGAAAAATAAAACAACTTTTTCAATTCGAGAACACCAACCACTTTTATTGATGGAACAATTTTTTTATTGACAGGTGGGAGAGAACACACAATATTAGCATATCAGAGATGCATTTATGGCAACAGCTGCAACTGACTTGTTTCTATTTTGGTTATTTTGTCTTCGGCACATCTTACAGAACACATGTGCCCTTTTTTTCTTGGTAAGTGACTTTCTCTTTCGCCACAGAAAGTCATTTGATTTTAGATTTCACAAAGAACTTATGGTATAAAAAATCTGACAATACAATTTTCTTAGGGGTGTGGGTGTGTGTGGACCAGTACATCAGTTTATGTTTGAACCAGATTAATGTTATCTTGTTGGTTGAACCAAGAATAGTGTATATTAGTTGAATCAAAAACATTAACTTAAAAAAATTCCAACAAAATTTAAAAAGAACAAAATCAAACAAAAAGTAGAAATCAAATTTTCTAATGTTTTGACTTTTACTTGTACTTTTAAGAAATGAGTGTCATGAAAAATGCTGTAATTTTTAATGCTTAAATAAAAAAAATATCCACATATATTTTACAAATATGAAAAGTAGAGTTAAGAATAATTTATTAAAAGAATACGAGTATAAAAACACATACACTCTGTGTCTACATTGTGTATAATGGAAGCTTAAAAAGTCATATTAAGAGATAAATAATTTTATAAAGACAGACTACAAGAGAAGCAAACATTGTGAGTAGATATTTGAGGAATAGTATCCAGATCTGACTATAAAGATGAGTTTGAAGACTATGATTAGCTCATATGCTAATCATAGTTTTCAAAAACATCTTGGGTAAGAAATTATAGATGAGAAGAATTAGCTAAATGGATTGAAAAAGTAAACATGGAATCAGAATGTTCTGTAGCATCTCAAAACAAAATAACAACTCACCCTGCATAAGCGTCCTATGACTTTCCGTGATACAAGTTGGACATTTGCTGAGGTCAATGCGACTGCTGTGTCCGCCATGATCTCAGCCTGGATGGAGCCAAGGCCACCTGTCACACTCCGCTGAAACATCAATTAATACTTTATAAAGTAGAGACATAAAAAATCTATACTTTTCTCAGAAATAAAAATTCACACTGAATTGATATAGTGATATTAAAATTTGACAGTTCCTATAGATTTAAGAATTAAAATTTTAAATTTCTATTAATATGAAGTTATGTAAATTGTTTTTATTTTCATTTAAAAAGTGTTTTTCATTTTAACTTAATTTTAAACAGTAAAAAAGCTTTGAATAATCAGTGAATATCTATAAATTTTCTATTAATTTTATGAATTAAATTTTCAATATTTTCTTTTACATCTCTCAAAGTTGTTGAAAAATGACCAACATCTTTTTTATTAAAATGATACAAGCGAGAGAGAATATGCAACTGTTTTAATACACACAATTTCTTAAAGTGCATCATACCCGCATACAGCAGAAATAATTTTAATAATGCTTCCTAGACAATACAGCAGTCAATGAACAATTATTTATCGCATTTGTTCTAATTTAGACCATATCATAAAAAGTAAGTGTGCTTCTCTAAGACCTGCAATCCAATTGAAATAAATTCCCTAGAAAATATTTCTTTGTTTATTTACATTAAATTGTCTGCATTTGTTTTGGATAGTAATAAAAAACATTAAAGAATCATTTGATATACTTTAAAGCCACTAAGATGCAATAGGTTACTGAAAGAATATGAGAAAGAAAATCTTTATTAGGAGGAGAGAACAATAAAAGAAAAGGAATTAAGAAAACAAGAGGTAACAACTGACATTGCATTTAAATTTTTGAAAAAGTTATTTTTCATACCTTAATAAGCCAAAGATTTACAATATAAAATTTTAAATTTATGTTTTGTAAAATTTAAATTCCATGAAAAAAGATATCATTTTTGTCCATTTTTCAGTACCTTATAACTGATCGTATAAATTGTTAATCAAATCAATAGTTTTTTGTTTTTTTTATTTACAGTCATTAGTTTCATTTGATAGTACACAAATTTTATTTCATCTTTGTGAATAGAATAAAAAAAAGGAAATTATTTCAACAAATGCAGTCTTTAAATCTAAAAACGAATATTTGTGTATTTTGCTGATATCAACTTTTAAAAAGTTATATATTTTAATTATAGAAATAGTCAATGCCAATTAGAACTGAAAAGATATTGTAATACAAACTTCTATCAAATCTCTACTCACCTTGATGAAGCTGTCTAAGACCATGTCCAGCAACTCAGCCACTTGACCAATGTTGCCCCAGATCTTGGCCTGTATGGATGGATACATCTGAAAGAATAATTCATGGAAAATTATTTGATATGCAGTAGTTCTAGTTATAGTATCTTCAACTAGTTCATAAAATAATTTCAAGGCACAGAGAAAATTTAGGTTTTGTTTACATTATACATCCTTGTTATTGCACTGAATGTCAAGCAGAAATATTCCTGCCAACACTGTCAGTGGTATGACAATTTCCATAAAGAAATAAAAAGATTGGAACAAAATAAAAATGGGTTGCATATATGTGAACAGTTTTTTGTATCATTCCTGTTTATGCATATATTATTTTAAATGGTCTACATCTCCTCTTTTGAGTGATGTCTGAATATTTTAATTAATAAACACAATTTTAGTTCCATTATGTTCCATGATAATCTCTTGTCACCTAGTCAGACCATCATGGCAGTCTTCTGATATTGTGATTTGGAACTGATGTATCAAATATTGCAAATATTTTGAGCACAGTAGTGAAAAGAGATATATTCTGCTACAAATTAATGCAATACCTCTACTTTGAAAGCATACTGCAATAATTAATTCATATATATACTAGACCAGGTTGAAATAAATTCTGGTAGTTTGACTCCTCATTACCTCAGTTTTTATTGTGATGCTGTAAATTCTAATGGTGATTTATAATGTTTTGTTTTAAATGATGTTTTAAATTTTGTGAATCAAAACAGTCATTTTGTTCTAACCTAATAATTAACTAAGCTTAGTTAAGTCTTGAACAAAGCCAGAATAATGAAACACCCACTGAGGATGGAATTCTAACAATGTGTTCATTGTGAGACTAGATCACCAATTTCTCTGTACTAAATGCTCAACAAACAAACCTAAATTTGATAATAGTGTGATTATCAAAGAATAACAGAAAAATTAGTATTTTCTCGTTTTTTATAAATCTGAAAAATAATGTATTATTACAAGTATTCCCATCAGGGTTGATAAATATAAGCAAAGGAGAATATGGATTTTTACCTCCACTTCCTCAATGGTCATGGTGATCAGTTTATCCCAGATTAAAGCCACTTTCTGACGTTTGTTTTCATCAGCCTGCTTGCAGAACCTAAAACAAAATCATATTTAGCACAAACAATAGTAATATGCCTTCAAAAAAAAACTAACATTGTACATACCTATACGCAACACTTCATAAATGCTATTTATTTTAATAATTCTGAGAAGTAATATTACAAACATTATAGTTCAAAATGAGACTCTCTAAACAATCTATTGTCACATCATCATAGATAACATTGTCACATCCTCTTCCAACCTGCCTCTGCTTAATATATGAAAGTATTAGATTGTTTAACAATCAAATAATTTATATTTATGACTACTAAGATAATAACTTTTGTGTTATAGAAAATTGTGTTCAACAGGAAAACTAGATAAAGGGAAATATATATAGATAAATACATATGACACAACTAGCATAAAACAAGAGTGAATAAAATACCAACACTGTCAGTGGTATGACAATTTCCATAAAGAAATAAAAAGATTGGAACAAAATAAAAATGGGTTGCATATATGTGAACAGTTTTTTGTATCATTCCTGTTTATGCATATTCCACTGACTACTACATGAATATGAACATGTGCCAATGATGCTGAAATCCCACAAATATACACATTGCTCATCAGACATTATATATATATATATATATATAAAATTAATGTGGAGAAACTTGTCACTTAACAGTCACTCAGTGTTATTTCAGTCATGCCAACTTCGAAGTTTTGAGTGCATTGTTGTAATGCCTTCACTCTTCAGGGTTATTGGCTTCTCTGCTGCTACTTTTCAACCTTTTCATATTTATGTATAGTTTGGTGTAATTTGATATCTTTGTGTGGGTGTGTGATTTTTTTTTCACTTATCTTTTTGGCTGTTTCTTAAGTGGTGAAGGACTTCTTGGTGATTGTTTACTTTTTATTGTGCTGACTGTGTTTATGTATATACTCACTTAATTGCTTTATGTAGAATAGACCTCTTTTTACCATATTGAGCCAATCCTTTTTTTTTTACTGTGCCAGTATATACGGCTACTTGAATTTTTTGTACTTATTTTTAAGTCATGGTTAGGCGTTTGCGCGCGTGTGTGTGTGTGTGTGTTGGATTTTGCTGATATTTGTGTGTATGTATATTCTTTTGTGAGCTTGTGTTATTTTTTTTTGTGAGTGTTGTGTTATCAAGTTGTTCCTTCCTTTTTTGTCATCTTTTTTTTTGTTTGGTTGTGATTAAGTATTTATATATGTGTGTTTGTGTGTATATGCAGTAGGGTTGTGATTTTCTGTTGTGCTTATTTGTTACTGTTTGTATTGGTATTTAAATAAAGTAAGTATTTATTTGAATGTTTACATTTCCCCATTATTTCATTTTTCTTGTTTAGTAGTTTGTGAATTTTTCCTCCAGGTATAGTTTACAATTTCTGCTATTGTTATTGTGCAGGGGTGCTCTTTTTATGATTTCCTATTTAATTTTGGTGGTGATGTTATCTTCTTTTTGGCTTCACATGTATTTTGATAGTGTTGTGTTGTATCTTTGTTTTAAATGATGTTTTGTGGTTGTTAAATCTTTCTTTGAAAGGTGTTTTTGTGGCTCCTATGTAAATGTTTTCATCTGTGTTGATATTGTTTGTTATAATGGTTTTACATATTGTTGCTTAGACATTTGTTAAATGGGCAGTTGTCTTTGTTGCATTTATTGATGTTGTTTTGCTAGTTTATGTTGTTGTTGCTATTGGTTTTGTTGAGTATTTTTTTTGTTGTGTTCAGTTATTATTCTCTCCATGTTGTTCATGCAGCTGATTCATGTTTCTTTGTTTTCAGTGAGTATTTTAATGTTAGTGGAATTCACTGATATTCTTTTGTTTATGGATATAGATATGTATTTGAATGTGTTGGGGGTGGTTGGAGTTTTTGCTGATATATATAGGACTGTTGTTTGCTTTTCTGTATGGTTTGTATGTATTGTTGTTTAAATTGAATGTTATATTTAAGAAATTTACTACTTTTAGATTTAATTTTATGTCTATTGTGAATCCTAGTGCGTTGAAGGTTTCTATGATTTGTTTCCTTATTTTTTCTGTGGTTGTTCTGTTACAGTTTCTTAAGATTATTAGGCTGTCGTCTCTGTACAGGCATATATTTTTTTGTTGATAATGTTTGCTAGTTTGTTGATGATGTGTATGCCTATACCTATAGGCATACCTATCATCAACAAATTATCACTTAATGATTGCAATGAATACCTTAGATTTATCATTTACTATAAAAAGTTTAAAACATCTAAATTAATCATTATCAATAACTCAGGACCTGAAAAATTCCTCCTTGGTAGAAACAATTTCATTTATGAATTCTTATATCCTTTAGGAGATGACATTTTCAATATTAAAGTCTTACATTGGTCACACACCACTCTCATATAGATTAAATTATTGAAACCTAATGCAATTTGTGTCACATCACAAACAATGAAAATACAAGATAGGACAAATATTAGTAGATTACAACAAAATATTATACAGCACATACTAAATGAAAGACCATATAAAATATCTTTCAGCACTGGAGAAGACATTTTAAAATGTGTATAAAATATTTAAAAATGCATATAATGTAATTATGATACATTTAAAATATTTACTATATTTATTTTCTGGTGTTGTCAAGCTCTGTAAATGTCACTTATACCATACATGGATATTTAAATTTGAAATGTGATAATTTTTTAAAAAGAAAATCTGCCAGGATGTAGCTAAAAAGCTCTTGTCTACACTGACATCTTATTCCTGATAATGGCCAACCCTATCAAAAGTACTAAAATAAAATGAGCAAAAACTTGAACCTTGAACAGTTTATCCATAATTTTGATTGATATGCAACTATTCAAAAATTGAAATTGTAAAAATACAATAAAAAAAATTAAACAGACAGACCTTGTCAACTGAGTTTAATAAAAGCACGCACACAAACACATTTGCAGGTAATCAATGTTTGCTTTCAATGATTATTTCCATCATCAAATCATGTTCTGAAGAGGATGCAAATAAACATGAAAATATTAACAAAATTTATTAAAGTTTGTTAATCAAATGTTAATTAACTGTAGTTATGTTTTTCATATTTATTTCTCTTTTAGTGAACATCTGTCAGCATAAAATATCCAATTGAATAATGCAAGCAAACAAGTGATAAATGAATGATTATTACACACCTTGTAAGGTTGGGCAGCCAAGGAGTGATGTATTCGAGACACAAGTGCTTCATTTCTATGTTGGAGTGACCAAATCCTTGAATGCATTCCTCAAGGAACTCTAATGTCAAGTGTGGTTCATTGGCTGCTAACTTTTCACTGATGGATTTGATGAAAATGGTGTTGTTTGCAGGAATGCACAAGCCTGTAACAAAATATAGAAAAATAAAATAAATCTCTTACATCAAGAATTACTATTCTTACATTTAGCTGAATCTAAGCACACAATATTTAATGAAGACTCAAATTGATAGTCACCAAGAAATTTAATTAAATTGTAGAACAGATAAGAGCAAATGCTAAGTTGGTCATGTGCATTAACAGAAAGGATTTTTTTTTTTAGTCAAACCAGTTTTCCTTAGAAAGCAGAATGTGTCTTCTATTAACTAAAAAATTACTTTCTGTTGATGCACATCACCAACTTAGTAATTACTTATTTCAGATTCAGACCAGGAGATAAGCAGCAAAATAAACCATGGCAAAATCTTTTTATTGAATCACCTGCAACTAAGTTCATTAATCTTAAGCACTTCTAATTAAAAACAATGTAAAAAGTTTTATAAATATTTTCCTGTTATAAGAAATCTCTAAAAAGCACATTTAAGAATTAATGTAAATTCATTGACAACCACCCACTGGTAGTTTTAAGTACGAGTTTATTTTCAAAACATCAGTTTAGGGTAAACACTAGATGTTAATAGTATTTAACAATGTAAAGGAAATTGTTTTTATTCCAAGTTAGCATGATATTTTGCTTCATAATCAAATAACAAATTCAATATATTTTAAAATCCGTATTTTGTAAGTTTTAAATAAATCAGTATACCTGTTGTCTCCAGCAATTGACCTTCTATCTTGAGGTCAAATGTCTGTGTGAGAGCACAGAGTAGATTGTAGGCTGCTGAACGAAGGCTGGGATCAGAGCTGCCCAAGTTGAGCAATGCCTAAAGATAATAAAAGAATTTAATTATAACAATTGTTGATGAAAGAAAAAAGGAAGGGAGAGAATTCTTGAAAATATAAATGAGCAAAATTTTCAATAAAATATATTTCTGGTTATTTATTGACATTAAGTTTATTGAAATACATACTTTTTATTATTACAAATGATAAAATTATAAGAATTAAATTATTCACACTGCCACTGATTAATATTTCTAGTTTAACTCCTTTGTTGCTTTTATATTCATTTTTGAATGCGGCAAAAATATAGCCAACATAAAATAGTATTGTCAAATCAGTCTTCTATCTCCTTTTGTTGATGTTTTATTTGTTATTTATTACTGACAAGTATACACACATATATAAAAAATAAGATATATACACATGCCAATTTTAAAAAAAATATTTTTATACCTATACAGAAAATACAAAGTCAAGTATTCAGAAATCTAAGCTTATAAAACAAAAGGAAAATAAGTAAATTACACATACAGAGTGTAATAAATACTTACAACATTGAGTAATGTTCCAGGAACATCTTTTGGTCGGATTTTTGTATGTACCGTAACTGTATCCTGAAATTTTATGTAGGTAAAAAAAAATATAAATCAAAGTATCCATTAGAACTGAGTAAGAAGAAAAGAAAAAAAAAAAAAAGAAAAAGTCAAATATAAAGAAATAAAACTTAACAAGTAAGATAATAGAAAAGACAAGAATTTTAGATGCTAATTGTACTCACGGGTTGGGATAGCTCCCATCTGGTCCTGATATGGATGATGCAATTCACAATGGTATCACAGTCACTATGGATGAAAGACAACGGTCCGGTTTCATTGGCAATGGTAAGTGTGAACTGGTTGTCATCAACCAAACACACCTATAGATAAAACATCAAAAACTCAAATATGTAAACATTATGGATGAATAAGATTTAAATGAGACATACAAAAAACAATATTCCCTTTATGCTAAAAAGAAAAACAGATTTACTGTAGAAATTTCAAATAGTAAAATAAAAATCTATCAAAAAACTGAAGGATTGATTACACATGAAATTTCTTATTTTGTCAAGAAATAGACAGAAACTGAAAAAGTTAGTTTTAACTAGAGTATCAGATATGCAAGCAGGATATATAAAAATGAACTTACTTCCACAATTTCTGAGGCATAATAAACATCATTGAGCAAAACTTGATGACCAAGCACTTTGCTACGTTCTGAAGATGTCACTTGGATGGCATTTGGCCCAACCTAAAATGAGAAATCATTAATAATTAAGTAATAATTTTCCACATTAACATTATATGTTAAGAATATGTACTTTATTAGTAAGAGTGGTAGTTATAATTTACATACAATAGAATCTATTTTTGTAGAGTTTAGTGCAAATATTATCAAAGCTCTTTTTCAGTCATTGAAGCATGATTTTTAAGAAAAAATATTTCCTTGTTCAAAATAAAAATGTATGGTTACTAAAAATGGTTTGAAACTTTTCTCATTAAAATGTACTAAGTTATTTTTGTTGTTGGACAGAATTTTGAAAATTCAAGAAAAAAGATTAGCAAAATAAGCAGTTACCTTGAGGGCCACTTTTGTGTCCTTATGAGATAATTTCAGGGCATCTTTATACACTTTCAAGTCTTCTTCTAAAGCCAACGTTGTTCCAGGCATCTTCCCACAATTATCAGTATCAATATACTCATGCAGATGCGAAGGATGTTCAATAAATTTCAACTTTCGACTATTCTGCAATTTAAATAGACAAAACAAATCACATCATATCATATCTTTTCAAATTCTGAAATATTATCATTACAACAAAATTCTCATTTAGAATTTTTAGTAACTTTAACATCATGCATAGATCTTATGGTCAAATCAGCTCAACAACAAAACTATTCATGGAAAACAATTGTTTTACTATAAAATATTTTAATACTTTTTCAAATGCCTATCAATTTATCATGTCTCAACAACTATTTTCACAATGTTTATATATATTTGAGAAATTAGCTGTGTTTTATTTAATATTATTTGGTGGCCAAGAAATGTTTCAATCAAATATAACAAAAACAATTTTATAAATGCAAACTCTATAACAAGTTATTTATAAATGTATGTTATGCTGTGAGATAACAATTTAAATATAAATTTTGCTTAAAGAGGTTATACTTCACAATGCAAACATTTGTAAATTACAAAAATTTCCAATTATATATTCTTTCCTGACCAATTCTTTCATATATACATAAAATCCAACAGTTTAAAAAAAAAAAAAAAAAAAAAAAAAAAATACCTTCAACGGTGCCAATATTCTGTCATGGTATTTGGTATACTCTCTGACCCATGAATTACAGTTATAGATATAGGCAGCAAAGATGTTTTGGTTGACAACCTCTGGCATCACAACAAACCATTTATTTAAGAAATCAGTCTAAAAACATAAAACCAAAAGCAAATAAATATACATACATTATATATATATATATATATATATATATATATATATATATAGTCAATTTCAATATACATAAAATTCACAGCTAATCCTATAAGTTAGAAAATGAATCATTGGTTGTGCACTAATGCTTTAGAAAACAAATTTATTCAAATTCTTTTTTCATTGAATTCTTTGCAACACATTCTACAAAATATTTAGTCATAAAATAAAGGGTTAAATCAGTTCATTTTTGTTAATGATTCTATAAGTGCAGTTTAAATTAAATATTATTGTTAGTACATAACAAATAAGAGAAAAAGATTTGAAAAATTCCAACTTAATTTTTGTATCAATATTTGCTAAGATTTATCTTGGTAAATTACAGACCAGCTGGATTCTAAATAACCTTATAAAGGAATTTATTGCATATAATTTCAATCTGACCAATTAGTTTCCAAGAAATTGACTATATGCAGATTTGTAGTCTCAAGCTTTCAATTTTACCTTCATCCATATCTGAATGTGACATTCACAGTGATTCCTCGCAGGTTTATGAAACACTCAGTAGTAGTGTAAAGCAAATTTAACTAAGCCATATAACCAAAATAACTAATAAAATTTGCATAAATATTCCTTTTCTCATTTGAAGTAAAACAATGATACCATAAAGTTTTAAAAGAATTTTAAAAACAATTTCTAACAGTTTTATCAAAAGTATTTTGAAACAAAGACGCAATAAAAAAAGAAAAGAAAAAAAAAAACTTACCCTAAATCTGTTTTCTGAACAAGTATGTGTAAAATCAACAACCAATTCAAAAGGATTATTATAGTATGGTTTCAATGTGAGCAATATGTGATATATCAACAGGTCTCCATTAATTTCGCCAACTCTGAATAAAAAAAGAAAAACTTGTCAACTCAAATTTCAATGCAATCAAATTTTACTTTCATTATCAGTCAGAAAATTCATAACTTTGAAAATGTAACTCAAAGTAGAAGTTAAAGATGCCAAAAATATTAAAATATCCACCAAAAATTTCAATTTGTTGCCAAGATTTAAATTATTGATGTTAATCAGGCAAATTTAAATTTTTATTAATCTGAATTAAGTAAAATTTTAAAAACAGATTCAAAGGGCTACATGCAACTGAAATTAGAAACTGATAACACATTGATTTAAATATAACTGAATTGATATCTTAGTGCATATACAAACTTTCAGGCACACTTAGGGAGTGATCTGTAAGGTGATTTTCATGTTAATTTATTTCATTCATCTTAAATTCAGTTGCTTTCCATTACAACTATTAAAAATGATTCTAGAGCCATTAGTAATCAATGGATTGGAAGAAAGAATAATAGAATCTAACTCATATACCTTTTATTTCAAGAACCTATAATAGTTGCCAATGGTGTATAAAATCAAATCTAACCATATAGATTTATTGTTTACTTTTTATATTCTGTTTGCATATACTAATAGTATTATTAGTAATATTATCTTTAATTCTATTCTGATCTGTTATTGACAGTTTGAGAAGTTGCAATCAAAAGCAAATTAAATACTAGTAAAAAAATTAATGACTGCTTCAACTAATGAAATTCAGGTGATTTTTGTTGAAAATCTAGCAAATTCAGGAGATTTTGTTAAAAAGAAAGAAAATTTGCTGTATTAAATATTGAATTTATAAGGGGAAATGTTCAGTGGCTAGTCGATGAGATTTCAATTTTAACACAACAAAATTACCCAAGCTTAATTTTAATATGATACAATAATATATTCTTTTGCAAAGAACATTTTAAACCCAAATACCCGAGTAGTCAATACACATAAATAAAAGGTTTTTAACTAATTTATATAGTTTAGATATGAAGTCTTTCAATCCATAATCCTTAATCAATATGAAAATTCAAATATTACAATTTAAGCAGATAATACACATATTTCCAGCTTTTATAGACAGTGGATACTTCAGTAGATTGTAGATATTTTTAATAACATTTTTGTTTGCAGTATAAACAAATTTCATAAGATATTTACAGATTTTTATATTGATAAATATTAATAGAACCATAATCCATGTAAAACTCACTTGTATCTGCGAGCAATATAATAAAAAACTGGATATCCCGATTTGCTAGTTCCAGCTTGATAAAAAATGTTAAGGCTTTTCAGGGATTTGAACTCATCTTTTTCATGCATATTGTGCTTTGACATGAGTTCTTCAAATCTCGTGCTTGTCATATCCATTGTACTCCACCTGAAAAACATAGATAAGAATTCAGACTTGAAATTTATAGTATAACAAAGGCAGGAAATGATAAGACAATTTTAAAAATTCAAACCAATTGTTTATTTCTACAAGTACATTAGGTACAAAAGGAGAGAAGATAATTTTACCAATAATGTCAAGAAAAGCAAAGTTCATTTGTCATAATTTTATAAAGAGAATACTCAAATCATAAACTCTAAAATTTAATATAATTCAGTTGGGAAACAAAGAGACATGATCACGTTAGAAGTGCAGCAAGTTTGTTTAACAAAACCAAAGAGACTTTCCTTATATAAAGAATTGCAGTAAGTGATGAAGTATTTTTACTGAGGTGTGATCCCATAAAAACTGACTGAGCATCTTTTTTGTAATTGTTAAAATATATTCACTTTCATCCCACTTATGTTGCTACTTCTCTCATCTCTTAAAGAATTAATTGGCTGTTTGGTTGTTTTATGACTTATCAACTCCTCATGTAAAGAGTTCATTGTATACTTGCTCTGGTAAATCTGTATGCAATGCAAACATTACCAAATTTTGATAAGGATATAAGGTTGAACCAACATCAAAAGTTTCAAGTTTTTTCCCCACACAAATTGAAAAAGCAGTGATAAATTTGTATGTATTTTTAGTATATTGCCAAAAGAAAGCAAGAAGAGAGACAAGATCTATATCAGATTAATAAGAACAGGGTTTATGTATTTTATCATTATATTCTAATGAGTAAAAAGGATTAAGTCAACCATTAGCAACTTTGCCTATTAAACCTATTTGTGCTTAAACTGACTAATTAAAAATCATTTTTGTCACATTTTAATGTAATGAAAATGGTTCATATCATTACACTTTAAGTTCTACTTGCAATGAAGGAAACAAAAATGCACTTAATTATAACAAAGCAAAGACAGAATAAGTACATTCATCTTTGAAGAAAATTAAATTTTGTTCAGATCTTTAAATATGGGTTTAGTTAAACAAGTAAATTTTACTGCATCATTTCTGAAAATGACTAAACATATCCTAACACTATCATAAAACAAATTTCTTTTTCAAAATCAAATTGTTTCAATGGCTAATTCACTCTTCAAGGTGCATATATTTTTCTCAACAACCAATTCAGAGCATCCCTACTTATATTGAATTATAAGTCACTTAACAGATGTTAAGATATTTATAAAGAGAAAATTTTCAACTTTACATTAGTATATAAAACAATAAAGCTGACAGTTTATGATTTGAAAAGATAATATTAGATCTTTTAAAAATATAAAGTCAAACTCATTAAAAAAATTTTAAAAAATGAAAAAACACCATCAAACACATAGAATGATTAAAATGACTTACTGCGAATCAAGAGGTCGATGCTCTGGAGGGCCCAAATATGCTAATAATGTTGCCAGTTTGTCAAAAGGCCTCCTACCAACAGCTTTATGGTCCCTAAATATTCAAGAAAATATATTGAAATACAATGGTAGCATAAAAAATTAAAAATAAAATTTTTTAAAATCTACAAATTACACACTAACATTTTCTATATTAAAAAATGCATCTACTTTACTCAGTAAGGTATCATACATACTATTTCTTATTCTGGTACATTTCAAAGAAAAAAGATCATGTGAAAAATACACCAAAAGTCAGTTACTGTAATAATTCTTCTTCAGTAACCAAATGATCTCCTTTTCCTCTTCTCATTTTAAAACTGATTTTTTTTTAAACTATAATCCAATATTAAATGGAGGTGCTAATTAGTGAAAACAATTATTTTCTAGTAAGTTTTCTTTTTTAAATATAATTATCAAGAATATTTTGAGGATATTGTTATTGTACATCATTAGTGAATTTCTTATAATTAGATTTGTAGAAGTTTTTTTTAATCTACTGTTGAAAATCATTTGCATTACCTTGGTTAGGTGCAGATTCTACAAAAGTGTTAAAAACAAAAAAAAAAAACAAAAACAAAACTACTGAGCAATATTTCTGCATGCAATTCCCTACTTAAACATAATGAAAATCATCTGTAAATTGTAACAAGTGATGAAAAATGGATAAATTCAACAGATTGTGGAGCAAGCAAAAACAACCATCAATATCTCATACAAAGAAGGTAAAGCTGTATGGAGATTGAAAAGGCGCCTTCTACAATAAGCTCCTTCCTGAGAACTAAATAGTTAATTCCATTAAGTAATACTTATAATTAGACCAACTGATGGCAGTAATTGATAAATGAAAAGCATAGTGAGGGCATGATATTTTATTTAGATAAATCAAGACTACATATTCCTTTATTGACCAGACAGAAATTGTTACATTGGCAGGCAAGTTTTCACTGATTTGCTATAGATGACCATTTATTTCAGTCTTTACAGAATTCTCTCAATAAAAAAAATTCCCTGAAAGATAGTAAATGGCACTTAAGAGTAGTTCTTCAAGAGAAAGATAAAAATTACTGGATGAATGGAATAATGATTGATTAATTACTTATTTTACTGGTATATCAACCACTATGGGCCATTAATGCCAAAACAGTAATAGTATCTTGTGGTATTTTTGTTTATAGATTTGTGTTGTCTGGTAGGTTGCCTTTTTATAGTTCCTGGTAGGTTATTGTTTCAGGTTGGTATATATTTAAAGGTGGCACAGTGGAGCAGAAAGAAATGG